GTTCTCCCTGTGTCAGCGTGGGTTTCCTCCAGGTGCTCTGACACGTTCTCCCTGTGTCAGCGTGGGTTTCCTCCAGGTGCTCTGACATGTTCTCCCTGTGTCAGCGTGGGTTTCCTCCAGGTGCTCTGACACGTTCTCCCCGTGTCAGTGTGGGTTTCCTCCAGGTGCTCTGACATGTTCTCCCTGTGTCAGCCTGGGTTTCCTCCAGGTGCTCCGACACAGGTGCTCCAGCTTCCTCCCACAGTCCAAAGACATGCAGGTTAACTAAATTGTCCGTAGGTGTGAGTGTGAATGGTTGTCAATGGAAAAAAAAAAGTCTGCACCACAAGCAAACTCTCTGGAGGTCTGCAGACAGTCCACTTTGTGCCCCTGTGGCCTGGATGAATTACAGATTTGAAGCCCTCAGCTCTCACCAACAAAGTGTGTGACGGAGGCAGAGCGGAGCAGAGTCTCTTCTCACAGCACAAAGTGTCTGAATTAACAAACAGTCAGTGCTGAGTGGTGTAAAGTGACTTCTTTAGTCTGGTACAGAGTGTTTTAGGTTCAGTCTTTGACTTCGGGTGAAATTCTTTATAAATCAATCAATTTTATTTATAAAGCCCAATATCACAAGTCACAATTCGCCTCACAGGGCTTTACAGCATCTGACAAAGACGAGGAGGTGCTGAGCGCTGTACCGTAACTGCACCAATACACGCGCATCAAAATCGAAAGAGCCCCTGGTCAGTCCAGGAAATGAAGGAAATGTTTCTCCCAGTAATAAAGCAGACTAATATATGCTGTAGATAAACTGTATTCATACTGACAGATTTACCTGCTCAGGTGTTAAAAACGTCATCTACACACTGGAGGACTACACAACTAAAGATAACTCACCTGAAAACGACACGGAGCGTCACACCGACGACATTTCTGCTTCACAACCGCGTTTCTCTCTGCGGAGGAAAAATGTACCTCTTCAAAATAAAAGCTCCATGACGTCATCGTCACACAATTTAGTTTATTCTTCGGTTGAGACTGTTGAATGAGCTGAACTCATTTTCATGTCTGAAGCAGAGCTGAGCACAAAATCAAACTATTACATCTGATTATTTCATTAATCCTTCACTGAGGGGAAATCTGATCAGCTGTTTCAATTAAAGAATAAACGATAATCCAATCTGGAAATGGCAGAAAACTTTTGTTCACTTACGTCATCTTAACAAGAGGACTTTACTCATCCTGAGGATCCTATTGATCCGCTTTACCAGCTGCAACATATCACTGATCAAATGCATCAATGCACCAATTAAAATACAGTAATATGATGTAGAGTATTCTGCAGGATAGGCACCTTTACTGCTGACAGTGTGGTATTACTATATTTACTGCAGTTAGTGATGTGAGTGTGTCTGTTTCTGTTCATGTGCCTTCTTTGAAACAGGATGTTGTTCTGATCATAAAACTAACACTTGTGTCTTGTGGACTTGTTTCTCACTACGAGAGCTCGTAATGCTGACATCACAAAAGAACCAACGAAACATTCAACAATTTAAATTAAACGAAGCAGTTTCTGGTGTGTTTCTGGTTATTTGTACAAAATGAATCAAACAAACAAACAGATCAACAGATTATCAATATATCAGAATCATGTTAAACTAACCAACCAACAGAACAAAAAGTTAAACGCATTCAGAAATCACGTTTCACCTTTTAATGAATTTTTTTACCATAAACTTCAACTTATTGTCCTCTATGTAAAAAAAGTGTCAGAATTTATCAACTTAAACTAAATAATTAATGAATGATTCTAAAAATAAATATCAATTAAATATCATTAGTGGTTATTTATTTTAACCCTTTATGGTACACATTATGATGCCAGTGAGAAAAAAACAGTTTGATTTTTTTAAACATGCTTATAAGATATTTTTCATGAAGTTCCATGAAGTTAAGGGACGAAAAAAAAGAGGGTTAATGTTTAAAACCTGAATAATAGTTCTCATGGAAAATAAAAAATATTCAAAAACCTTAAAGTTTAATATTCCTGCCATTTGAAATAAAATAAAACATGAAAAATAGAATCTTTTCATCAGTTGAATTGTCTGAAGGTGAATGAGTTTCAGCAAACTTCATAACCATCTCCAAACCAGTCTGGTCATTAGTTAGTGTGTCAGTGTGCTGCTGTGTGTCCATACCGACAGACTGGATGATGTCACCGTTGGTTTTGCTGTCAGCAGCTTGTCTAAATTCTGATTCGTCCTCACTAACATCAGCTGGGAGGGATAATTAAACCCTCTTCTTCTTTGAAGAGTCAGAAATAATATCACATTCATTCTGTAAATGATGAAATGTTTGTAAAATCTAATGATCGGGTGTGTGTTCTGCAGAGAGCACTCAGGGTGCCTCTGTAATAGTGACTGTATGCAGTTAGACTTCATATTGTTCACATTATTAAACTGATCCAGGTTCATCTGTAGACACAAAAAGAAAAAGACGATGACTGCTTTGCATTTGAACAGAATATAAATCCAAAGCCTGAAAACTAAGGTCAGAAAGTGACCCTAAATAACACTGCATGTGGTCTTATTTTGAAATAAAGAGTTGAAACATGAGCTGGGTTCATGTGACTGGCTGAATGTTGATCATGTGATTTACAGTAACAGTTCAGGCTTGTTTACTGGGACAGGAGAAGTGAAGTGATGATGACATTAAGGGTCAGTGTCGGTGTGGGAATATAAAAAAAAGAAAATGTGCAGACATCAGAGTTGATGCAGAGAAAAGAACATTTAATTTGTTTTAAACAAGATTTGAACTTCTTTTACATTGAAGAGAAAAAACAAACCCATTTGATGTTTGGATTATTTATTCACATTAGGAATCATCACACTTTGTTCATTTGTCCGTCAGTATAATCAGTAAAATGGTTGAAGCTGTTGTCCAAGTGAGTGCGCAGTTTGTGGAACAACATGGCTGATATCAGGTTTGACTGTCTCACAGGGACAAAATGGCGCTGCTGTTTTATCTGCCACACCCCTAAACTTCTCCTGAGAGACAGATATCGCTGACTCTGACATATTAACAGACATTTCCTCTCTAATGAAACAGAGAGAGTTTACAGTGATGAAAAACTAAACCTTAACCCAACACTGACCGAGAGCAGAGGCTGTGTTCGAGTCCAGCAGGAAACCACGTCAAGTTTGACAGATTCAGATGAATCGCTTCCTGACACGGCCTTCAAAATAAAATCGTCTGATTATTTCAGACTTGTGATGACAATAATTTCGACCACACAGAAAGTTTGCTCTGATCAATTTGTCTTAATAAAAAACACTTCTGTGTTCGGATGTCGCCTGAAACACGTTTCATGTTTGTTTTGTTAATGTTTTATTTTATTTGAGTTTTATGTTGTAGACCGGATATAGGTAGTATTTTGGGGAGGTGTTGAGAGTGGAACAGGACCCGACAGCAGCTGTGATGGCAGAAAGTGTAAAATCTAGTAAGTTTGGATTAACCTATTGATCGTTTTTTAAATATTGATTGATCGATGACGTCATTCTCAGTTCGACAGTTAAACGAGTCAGACTCAAAGTGTGAGTTTACTGCGTGTGATCTGTTGTGTTAACTCGGTCAGTCGTCACACTTTCAATGTCACTATAATTGAGCTGCTTCTTCTTTATGAAAAGCTGCTGATTAAACGTTACTGATGGTTTTATTGATCCACATCTGCGAATGTGTGTTTTTCTTGTTGAAGTGTTTCCTTCTTAAAATGTTACTTTCACTTTCAGGTTGGTGAAAGGAGGTAAAGATGGCGCGAGAAACAAACAGAACTCTGCCCAAGTGACAGACCGTTGAGAAAACCTGTTTAACAGGGTCATCATGTAATTGCACTGATCAATGATATGAATTCATACATTTACAATGATGATATGGAAAATATCTAAATTAGCTTCAGACGACAGGAATGAAGTCAAACATGAAAATAGCTGTAAAGACCGTTAACTCATAAATATCCCATCAGACACGCCGGCTGATGACTGACAGTGTGACAAATATTTTTTAGATTAAAGTTTTCTGGATTTTTTTTGATAGAATATGTAATTATCTAAATTAATTATTTAATTAGTCATTTTTAAAATTCCTGTTTCTCTGTGTTGACATATCAGGGTCAAATGTGACTCTTTCATCACTCCATTTCTCACCTGAGGAGCTCTCTGAAGGTCTGCGATGCTCTGTGAAGAAGTTTTATCTTAACCAGGACTTTGGGCCCGTCCCAATACCCCCCCTTAGCCCTACCCCTACATTTGCGCATTCCCGTGAGGGGTAGTGGTGTCCCAGTTCCTTTTGGCGTGTAGGGGTAGGGGGCATAATATATATTACATATATAACAACTCATTTGACCGATGACTGATATCCATATATCCACTTTTACCTTCCTAATTTCAGTGATCATCATCATCAAGTCTTGACTGTTCGTTTTAAAGCTGTGATCGGCTGATACTGATGACATGCAGATATTATCATGCATCCCTGCTGTTTAATAATCAGGGACAGCACACATTAACATTGAATGCATTTTTTATGACTCTGCTCAGGTGTTATTCTATTTACAGTTTTGAACTGTGGGCATTTAAATGTTTTAAGTGTTTGTTAATAATAAATGAATTTGTTATTTATCATCAATTTGTTTTCTCTCTGTCTGAACAGTCCTGGGGGGAAGAAGAAGAAGAGACAGTAAGGAAGAACCTCCAGGTCTGAAATTTCCATCAGTTTGTTTGAACACAAACATCAGAACTTCTGTGTTTTACCGTTTGTTCACTTCTAGATGTGATTTAACATTTCAACACAGGTTAGTATTATTGATGATTCTTTGTAGGGAGTCAGACTGTCCTCTGTAGGAAACTGTGATACTTAACATTTAACAGCAACAAGGTGTCAAACTCCTGAATTTAAATTCCCTAAAAATGTAGAATTTAAGAAGTGACACATGAGAGGGAGCAAGGTCCTCTATTGGAGATCTATCCATCCATTTTCTAACTGCTTATCCCCTTGAGGGTCACAGGGGCTGGAGCCTATCCCAGCTGACACTGGGCGAGAGGCAGGGTTCACCCTGGACAGGTCACCAGACTATCACAGCGCTGACACATAGAGACAGACAACCATTCACACTCATATTCACACCTACGGACAATTTAGAGTCACCAATTAACCTGCATGTCTTTGGACTGTGGGAGGAAGCTGGAGCACCTGACATCTAGTATAGTAACTGTTGCTGAGTGGCGTGTAATCGAGTAAAAAGAAATCAAAAGTAATCAGATAATGATCCGATCGTAGAAAGGAGGAGAGCTATAAGTGCTTAAACAGAACTAGTGTGGGTTAAGACTTGGAAGTAGACGTTAAAGCAACTGAAGTGAGAAAGCAGGCTAGCAGAATCCACCAGAGCAGCACAGAGACGCTGTCACAGAAACACCGGAAATGACACAACTCGCTTACCGCAATACGTCAGCACGCCAGCCTGTTTCCATGACATACGACAGTGTATACTTTAGTGTGAGTAGTGTCATATCTGCACATTACAGCTCGGCCTGTCTTTTCCTTATGCTTGACTTCATCACATCATCAGTACTCTGTTCTGTTGCAGACCTGTCAGACCTGAGGGTGGTTCTGCTCGGAAAAACTGGAGCAGGAAAAAGCTCCACTGGAAACACCATACTGGGAAGAGACGCCTTCAGTGAAGCTGTCAGTCACTATTCAGGTAACACACACACACACACACACTGTCAGTCACCTGTGTGTACCTGAGTTAATCCGGCGTCTTCTCTGTCCTCAGTCACCAGACAGTGCTGTAAGCAGACAGGTGAGGTGTTCGGCAGATAGGTGACCCTCTTCGACACTCCAGGACTCTTTGACACTTCTGAGGCTGAACACACCGTGAAGAGAGAGATCTCCAAATGCATCAACATGTCGGCCCCGGGGCCCCACGCCATCCTGCTGGTCATCAAGCTGGGGCCCTTCACAGCAGAGGAAAGAGACGCCGTCAAGAAGGTGGAGGAGATCTTTGGGGAGGACGCCTGGAAGTACACCATCATCCTCTTCACACACGGAGACAGAGTCACGTCAGACTTCAGACCGCTGCAGGAGGCTGGACCTGAGCTGCAGGAGGTCCTGAGGAAGGCAGGAAACAGGTATCTCATCTTCAACAACGTCAAAGTCAACGATCGTGGACAGGTCCTGGATCTGCTGGAGAAGGTGGAGGAGATGGTTGGTGCCAACGGAGGAGAGTTTTACTCCAACTACACCTACCAGGAGGTGGTGACGATGCTGCGTCAGAGAGAGGCCGAGCTCACAGAGTTCTACAAGAAGAAAGTGGAGGAAGAAATCAAACGTGTGGAGTCAAAGTACCAGAAGAAGCTGAGTGAAGCTCAACAGGAGCGTCAGAAGGTGGAGGAGAGGCTGCAGGCTGAGCTGCAGGAGGTGAAGCGCTACTATCGGGTTTTAGAGAGCGGAGTCCGTCAGGTCGTGGAGCAGACGGTGCCGACTGACTCCTTCAGTGAACTTCTTTCCCAGTTTAATGAGACTCAGAGGCTAAAATTCACTTCTTAACCCTATGGGCATGAACAACGCATAGTGCGTCCAAATTCACACCTGTTCTTCTCTCTGGATTTTCTCTGCAACCGTTCTTCATAGCGAGAAGCCACGCATATCATGTAAAAAAGCGGAACTGCAGCTTTCCGACAAGACCAGAGAACAGAGACGTAAGTCAAGATCATGTCGACAAGAAAAAATTTTTTTACTGCAAAGTGGCAAATATTATCTTGGAGGACATCATTGCACTTGGTTGACTAATTTTCTATGATCTTAGATGTAAATATTGCATGTTTCTTTCAGATAAAACACATTTTTGACTTGTGAATGAGTCAATGGAATTTCTTGCAATAATGAAAAAATATTGGCAATCATGTCCGCCTGGCACAAACCACATGTTTTGGACAGCTGTGAAGTGACAGAATGTCCCAGCATCATGGTTCTTATATTGCCAGATTCCAGAGAGTCTCCCCTCTTCATATATGGCAGAATATGTCTGTTTCCAACTTGCTATGGTGAGATACATGTAAAAATGAAAGAATTTAGTCACACGGATTTGTTTTTTTCATTGATATAAAAATTAATATAAAATACAGGCACATAGAAGGACATGAAATGATGGCAAATCTGGTTAGCCCAGATTGTCCTGAAAAGAACAAGATATAGCATGTGTATGTAGCCTTTATAATGACTGTGATATGAGCTTAAAAGTAAAGGCAGTAAAAATACCCCCAAAACGCCTAGGGCCCATAGGGTTAAAGCTGCTGATTAGTGCTAATCTAATCACAGTCGTGATGTCAGGCTGTGCGATGACATAATCACATAAAAGGCTGCGATTTGCGATTTAATGTAATGTTAACGTGTGCGCCTGTGAACGTGACTGCCTCTCCTGTAGTGTGTGGAGTTTGTTGACATCAAACAATCAATCAGTCAATCAATCAATCAATCAATTTTATTTATAAAGCCCAATAAGACAAATCACAGTTTGCCTCACAGGGCTTTACAGCATACGACATCCCTCTGTCCTTACGACCCTCACAGCTGATCAGGAAAAACTCCCCAAAAAACCCTTTAACAGGGAAAAACATCACGTCCACAAGCTATCCTGGTGTGTGCAGCACGTATGGTCAGGTGACCAGCCGGCGTGCAGCAGTGACCAACACAGACACTGAAGAACAGCATGAGCTCGACCATGAACAGGCTGAGTTGGTGGCAAAAAAAATGCAACATCTATCACATGGCGATACTTTGGATTCTGGTACGGCGACGTTGAACAGAAAGACGTGCTGTGTAAAAGTTTAAACGTTAAAGTCGCCACGTCAACACAACCAATCTATATCAGCACTTGAGACAGCACAGAGAGAAGTAGGAAGCATGCATGCATGGGGCGTCGGTAGTAGTGGATAGTGCCGGCGCCCCATGTACAATGGCAATGCTTCGCCGCAGCAGTCGCAGGTTCGACTCCGGCTTGCAGCTATTTGCTGCATGTCACCCCCCGCTCTCTCTCTCTCTCCCCCATTTCACTCTATCATGTACATTAAAGGCAAAAAGCCCGAAAAAATAATCTTTAAAAAAAAAAGGATGCATGTGAGAAAAAGACGAGCCGTGTAACGTTCAAGACAAAGAGACAACTGAAAGACACCAGAGCCTCATAAAACAACATCCAAGCACAGTTACACAAACATGTGTAAGTGTCACAGGGAAATCACGGACTCCATAACAAACTATATAATAAATGAAAAACTGAGCAACTTTGCTTGCTCCGCTGTGTGTACAGTGTCGTGCTGCGCTGCTGTGTGAGCAGCGTGTTTGACTTTGCTCAGTCTGTTGATGGTCATTGACACACTGTCTGTCCATAACAATAACTCTGTCAGGTCAGTGCCCCCTGATATAATGTAGGGAAACACTGAGTCAAGCAACAAGACTCATGATACCATTTATTTATTATACTGTGATTGCAATTGCAAATCGCGATAATGTCCACTCAAATCGCAATCGCACATTTTTCTCAAATCGTGCAGCACTACTGCTGATGCTTTCACTGTCCAACTTTGATCAAGTTCTCTGGGATTCAACAGGAGACATTAAATTTGGACTTTGGAAATATATCTTGGTTCTTTTGTATTCATGTGATGAACTGTACAGAATTAAAATCAGCAGGGATTTTAATACAGAATAAAAGAATAACATTTCTGTAAAAAAAAATGAGCTCAGTAAATTTTACCATGACGTGTTATTTGAGGAGAACTTTCATATTCCACTTAATAATGATCGTAAATTTAAATTTTCAACTCTAGAGATATAATGTTAAAAGCTGCAAACATGTCTGATTGTGATTGCTATTCTAAGTACTTTTCCATCATAATCGCTGTGATTTAAACATATCATATATCTATATATATCTTTTTTAAATTTGTGGTGTTGTAACAAAATAAAACCTGTTGTAACTTTTTTCAAAAGAAATAAAAGTGTCCTCCCATGAATATAAACCAGTACCTGTGTTTCTCCAGGAGTATCTGTACCTCAGCTGCAACAGGCCTTTAATTTTTAATTCACACCGTTTGAGAAGTAAATTTGGTTTCACTCTTTCTTATCTGCCTCTTTGCCTTGGAACAGTTTTGTTAGAAGTTAAGTAATAATTAGATTTATCTTTTCTCAGTGAGGTGGTGCATTTATTTATTAGCTGTCTGAAAGTAAACCAGTGGGAGGGGACCCCAGAGTGTTTAGCCAGGGACCAGGCTTTGTTCTTATTGCAGTGGATTTGATAGTTCAGAGGTGGACCCAGGGCCTCATCTGATCTTTTATTATTAACTTCTTGGTTGAAGCATGTCTCTACCTTTCTTTGCATCAGGCTGTTGAGATGAAGAGTTCCTAACAAGGCTTTTATTATGAAACATTTGCTGGAACAAGTTGTTATAAATTCAGTGACTTGCACAGCTCTCATTTGGTACTTCAAATGTAAATACTGCCATCTTGTGGCATGTGTATGGTACTACAAATTAATTTTGTGTGGGACATTAACACACTCACGGTGACTGAGACAGTAACACTTCAAATGATCCAGAAGAACAAAGTGTTGAAAATAATGTGATGATAATGTTGAATTTATTAAATCACAGTGGTGGACATGTACATTATACTCAGTTCATACACACATTATGTCCAGACCCTGCACTTTGTATCACTTGTTATGACAGTGTCGAGTGGAAGCAACTCCCCGATAAAAAAAAAAAAAAAACAGTTTAAATAAAAGTACAAAGATAAAATAACAGAATCATAATAAAGCTCCCTACATAAGTTCACTTTATATTTATTTATCAATAATAATAATAATCATAGTTGAAAAATAAACACCGGACGACAGTGGACGATGAACTAACGGTGAGCTGAGGTGAAAACAAGCTGATCTCTGATTGGTCATCACACGTAGACATCTTCTACATCCTCAGACATCTGCTCTGTGATTGGTGTTTCCATGGAAACAACAGGATGACATGGAACTGTAGAGAGGAGAACAAGTTAAGCGGCCTTCACATGATAAGAACAACACGCTTCGCTCACCGCCATGTGCAGTGCAGTAAACTCGGTCAAAGTTCAAATAATTTCAACTCTGAGCGCAGCGCTCAGGCAGAAAATCCGAGCGGTGTGCGACGCCAAGGGTAGCGGTGCTGCTTTGTCAGGTGTTGCCGCCCTCTCCATAGACAAACAATGGGACAGCCAGCGCAAAGCGGTTTTACAGCTGATCATGTGTAGAGGCCTTTAGCATCTGTTAGCTTCTGTGTGTGTGTGTGTGTGTGTTACCATAATGAGACTCCTGCTTCTCCTCTATAGCTTTCCCCTTGTCGCCATGGTGACCGTGCATTGTCACATAAACATTTTCCTCCAATGGACCTGAAACACCACAGCAGATTATAATTCATTTCTATTGTTATCAACAGACTATAATCTGTCATTTTTATCGTAAACAGATTATAATCTGTCATTTCTATTGTTATCAACAGATTATAATCTGTCATTTCTATTGTTATCAACAGATTATAATCTGTCATTTCTATTGTTATCAACAGACTATAATCTGTCATTTCTATTGTTATCAACAGATTATAATCTGTCATTTTTATCGTAAACAGATTATAATCTGTCATTTCTATTGTTATCAACAGACCATAATCTGTCATTTCTGTTGATATCAACAGACTATAATCTGTCATTTCTATTGATATCAACAGATTATAATCTGTCATTTCTATTGATATCAACAGACTATAATCTGTCATTTCTATTGTTATCAACAGATTATAATCTGTAAACTGAATCAATATCAGTATAACTGTTAATTAATGTCAGCAGGATATAAATTTATTAACTTTTTAAACAATGAATCTTTTAAGATTTTAAAGACGCAGGTTTCTGTGTCTCTGATTGGCTGATGTACCTGTGGGGTTTGTCCTCTGGCTCCTCCTCCTCCTCCTGAGGATGAAGAAGATGATGAAGAGCAGCAGCAACAGGAGGAAGCAGCAGACCAACACAGACACCACCACACTGCTGCTGCTGCTGCTGCTGGGGTCTGGGGACCGACAGACAGACGGACAGAGAGATAGTAAAAATGTATGTGTGTGACAGAGAAGACTATGGGGACAGAGAGGGGACTATGGGGACAGTAGGGACAGAGGGGACAGAGAGGACAGAGTGGACAGAGAGGGGCAGTGAGAACAGAGGGCACTATGGGGACAGTAGGGACAAAGGGAACAGAGGGGACAGTAGGGACAAAGGGAACAGAGGGGACAGTGGGCACTATGGGGACAGTAGGGACAGAGGGAACAGTGGGGACTATGGGGACAGTAGGGACAGGGGGAACAGAGGGGACAGTGGGGACTATGGGGACAGTAGGAACAGGGGGGACTATGGGGATAGAGGGGACAGAGGGGATTATGGGGACAGTAGGGACAGAGGGGACTATGGGGACAGTAGGGACAGAGGGAACAGAGGGAATTATGGGGACAGAGGGGACTATGGGGACAGTAGGGACAGTGGGGACTATGGGGACAGTTGGGACAGAGGGGGCTATGGGGACAGAGGGGAATATAGAGACAGTAGGGACTATGGGGACAGAGGGGACTATGGAGACAGTAGGGACAGGGGGGACAGAGGGGAC